TTTTTTTTAAAGAGAACTCTGAGGCTCAAGAGAGCTGGAGCAATGAACATCCCCACATCTGGCTGGATACTAGACTTCCTGCCAGGAACCCCCCTTGGTAAGGCCCCGCCCCGTTGACGGCCCCGCCCCTTACCCGGGCCCTGGTTGCACTTGGTGGAGTTGCAGCACTGCAGGAAGTGGAAGGTGTGGTTGCTGTGGAAACCGGTGGGTCCTGGGCAGCCAGGAAGTTGGCCACAGCCTTTGATGTGCTGCTCATCCTCCCAGATCCCTGTGGGGGCAGGGACGTTCAGGAGAGGTCAGAGGTCAGGTAGCAGTGAGGGGTTAAGACTGGCCTTGCCCACTGTAGCTGGTATGTACCCATTCTTTTTTTGGGGGGGAGTGAACCCTCATTTTATTTAGGGTAACTAGAGAAAGGACATTTCCCGGTCTGTCCATGTTGATGATGTTGGAGTCAATGTGATCTACATGAAAGGGCTTTGGAAGGTGAGCCCTTACCCTTTCTTTCCTTCTTGCTCTCTCCTGGAAGTTGGGACCCAAAGTCCAGAGAGCTCTGGCAGCCATTTTGGGCCACGAGGCAGTATGTAAGGAATAGAGTGACATCTAGTGGGGGACAAGGGGCTCCTGATTAACTCAGGAACTGTCTTTCCTAACGCTGGCCTTCCAGTGGCTGCACTCTGTGTGCAGTGTGAGGGAATGCAATCACTTCTGCTGTGTGGAGGGGGGTAGGGACTCACTTCCGGGACCGTGGTAGGTCACTACATCCACGCACTGCTCTCGGGGATGGCGGCACTGCAGGCTTTGCTCCCGGCCCCTCTCGCAACTCTCGTCTGAGGAGCTGCAGGACATACACTCCAGGTAACGGCCCACGGGAAAGGAGCGCGTCCGGCCTGCTGGGGAGAGGAGAGGCGCTGGAGGTATAGTCCTGGAGCTCCAGCCTCCTCCTGGGTTCCCCCAAATACCCCCAAGCCACCCCTACACGGTCACAAAGGGAAGATCCTTCCATAGATCCCTCTTGTTTTTACAATAAAATCCAAGCAGGACACCAGCGGCTCACTGCTGTAATCTTAGCTACTTTGGAGGCTAAGATCTGAAGATTGCAGTTTTGAAGCCAGCCTGGGCAGGAAAGTCAGTGAGACTCTTTATCTCCAATCAACCCGCAAACAGCCAGAAGTAGAGGTGTGGCTCAAGAGATAGAGCAGCAGCCTTGAGCAGAAAAAGCTCTAGCACAGTTCACAGGCCCTGAGTTTAAGTCCTACTGGGGGGCAACCATGTGTACACACATACATACATGTACACACACACACACATCCTAAATAAACAGAATACAATACAAGATCTTTAGTGTAGCATTCAAGGCCCATGGAAGACCATGACTTAAATACCTGTCTCTCTACATCTCCCTACATTAGCCCCTCAGGCTCTACTCCACTGATTTCTTTCAGCCCCTTAGGGCTAACTGGCCCCTGGGCCTTTGCATATGCAGTTTCCTTAGCCTAACCAGTCTTCCCTGGCTTCTGACTTTCCCCAGTTCCATTCAATCTTCAAGTATCATTTCCAATGTCAGCTTTTCCAGGAAACCCTTCCTGCGGCACCAGACTAGGTTAGTGCCCCGGCCCCTCCATTTCCCCTATCTCAGCCCTGCCCACTCTAATCACTGTCTA